TCAAGGAATTGACCAATTGTATGCTTACTTTTTTTTTCTTTTTTTTCAACAAAAGAAGAATGTGGTTCTACTTGCCCTTAGACTACAAAGCATGATATATTTATTAAGGGTAAGAAGAGCTCAACACATGTATACTTGGGTAAGGACATTAGGGTTTGCATGCTATATTTAAGTATGGTTACATTGGGTACTAATTAGAACCTATTATCATCAGTTTCCACACAAGTAAATGAGCTCCTCTTAGAAACTTTGTATAAGCTTGATTACATTCTACCAATCTGTGACTTTTCATGGAATTCTACAGTTTCTTTGTAAAACTTTTCCATAAGAAGACAAAAGTCTCAACCTTGGCTTGCTTTCAATCACTCACAAGTCCACAAATGGTTAAAGAACATCAAAAGATGCACAAGTACGTATAGAGCTCAGGAGAATAGATTATACTTCATAGTATAGTTGATGAGACCAAACAACATTATTTGCAAGGTATGAGTAAAAAAGCTCGAATGAGATAGGCATTTAACAAGTCCTAGCATAGGCAAAGGATGCAGCAGCAAAATCGTTGTTACAGAGGAAACAAGAGTCCAGAAGCTCTTCTTCTAGTGTGCTTCTTCTGCTGATTGCTTCGTTGTCTCTGCATCTTTCTTCATTTCCTCGATGATATCCTTTTTGTCTTTGATTTTAGCTCCAGCGTAAAGGATTTGGTTCCATTCTCTGGCTCTTGTTGCTCGCCAATGAAACTAGCTTCTCGGTTGTCTGATTGTGACACTATGGATGCTGTGCTCTTAAGCATCACCAAGCTTTGTTTTGCATCCATTCCAACAGAGTCTAGTTCTGTTTTCAGAGCATCCATAGCTATTTTTGGCTCTACCAGATCTTTTTCAAGGAAAGCCGTTTCGCTTTTCTCCAAACCGGTCTTCGCTGTTAAGAAACTCTGGCGCTCAATTTTAACTTTGTCAAGCTCTTGTACAGTTGTTTCAGTCATCTTTGATGCCTTAAGATCCTCTCCGTTTCTCTTCTCCACTTCAAGAACTTGGCAGCTAAGCTTCTCATTGGTCTTAGCTACAATCCTTTCGCAGCACAGCAACTGCATGCGTTAGCTCATCAGCTTTTCGATTCAACTCAACAAGCTTAGCCTTTTGGTTACTCAAGCTCAGTCTCGTTCAACTCATCTAACCTCGACTTCCTTCTTTTGACCAATCTTAGCAATCTCATTCAGAAGTTTGATTTCTCTCTTAAATCCATTCAATCTCCCTATTCTTCTCTTGTCCAGAACAATCTTCCTTGTTAATCCCATCAATCAACTCCTCTCGTTGACCAATCCATCGTTTTCAGAAATAAATTCCTCCAAACGAATCACACTCTCCTACAATCGATTCGCTTCCTCACACTGCAAATCAATTGAATCCCTCTCATCACAAACCTTCCTCAACTGTTCCTTGTAGATCTCCACCGTACCCATAACCTCACTCACTTCTCTTTTCAAAACCCTAATCTCGCTCTCTCTATCATCTTTCTCCATCACCAACCCCAACACCCACCTCCCTAAATCGATCGCTAACCAGGCCCAATTCCTTCTTCAACCCGAAATTCTCGTCACGTAGCCCAGTTTCCTCCCAACTCGGTCTCCAATTCACCCTTAGACTGGGGGTGGGGTTCTAGTTATCAGCAGCGGCCACGTTACTCTTACGCGTCGTTTTTTTCTTGGCCATTGTTTCTGGACATTCTCGAAGATTTTAGGTTTTGGGGATTTTTTGACC